TCTCAAAGAAGATATACAAATGGCCAATAAGTACGTAAGAAGATGCTCAACCTTGTTAATCATTAGGCAAAGTTAAATCAAAACTACGATGGGAAACCACTTCATACCCACTGTTGTTGTTGTTAAGTGCCATTGAGTTGATTCTGACTCACAGCAATCCAATGTACAACAGGACAAAACACTGCCCAGTCCTGCACCATCTTCACAATCCCTGCTATGCTCGAGCCCATCGTTGCAGCTGATCCATCTTGTTGGGAGTCTTCCTATTTTTCTCTGACCCTCCACTTTACCAAGCATGATATCCTACCCCAGGGACTGGTCCCTTTTGACCATATGACCAGAGTAGGTGAGAAGTCTGGCCATTCTCAATTCTAAGGAGCATTCTGGCTGCACCTTTTGCATACCCACTATTATGGCTATTATCCAAAAAACAGAAAATCAAATACTGGCAAGAATGTGGAGAAATTAGAATCCCCATGCATTGCTGGTGGATATGTAAAATGGTATCATTTCTGTGGAAGATTTTGGTGGTTCTTCCAAAAGTTAAATGTATTGTTATTGTGTTCTGTTTAACTGATTCCCACTCATAATGTAGTGCAGTAAATTACTCAGTATGCCTCTTCCAGTCACGGTCTTTGTGGCACCCACCAGATGACTGGGTGGAACTACGTAAATGTGAGGTGCTTGTGGTCTACCAAGGGGATTAGACTGCTTGTTCGTAATGTAAATAATGTACATAGTACTCTTGTGAGGGTGGGACCATGGAAATAAGGTGTATGTGAAACTGATGTGGGGATTGGCCATTTTTGTCATCTCACTAGGCTTAAAATGAGCCATCCCTGAGGCAGAAAGAGGGATTTCACTGCCATCGAGACAGAAAAGCTAGAAATGGAGTGAAGCATGTCCTTGGATCCAAGATCCCTGTACTTGACCTCCTTAGCAGAGAGACCAGCAGAGACAGCAGAACCAAGAGACCTGCATGAGACAGAGCAGTGGGCTAGCCAACCCATAGAGTAAAGAAAGCTGCATTTCTTTGGGCAGGAGGCTTACTGGCAGATTGGGGTGCACCTACTGGCAGAGCTAAAAGAGCTTTCTAACATTTGCCTGAGCAAGGTGGTGGCTAGTCTGAGAGGCTGAGGGCCAAAGGGAGGTGTGCCTTCAGTCATAGCAGAGAGGAGGCTGTCCTAAGTGAAGAATTGTATCCTGAGGGTTTCCTGAACCTGAATCACAACCCGTTACTTCCCTGATAAATCCTATAATTTTGAGTATTGTCCGTGAGTTGTGTGTGCCCATTGCAACAAATTATCGAATCCAACAGAGAAGAATAGTGTGGGGAGGACAGTTAGTGTCAGAATTGGTAAAGGTTGGAGGGTAGGGGCATGTATAACCTCATAGGAATCAGCCTTGGGGATGCTGATGGTGATTTTCTCTCTACCTTTAAAGTCATAGGAGTTCAGAGGAAAACACCACCCCTCTGACCTATATGCATATAGTGACCCTATGTGACAGAGTAGAACTGCCCCATAGGGTTTCCTATGTGTAATTTTCACAGGAGCACTGAACCACCAACATATAGATTAGCAGTCCAGTGTTTATTCAGTGCATTTCCAGGCTTCCTTAGATTTACGGCATTAACCAGCAATACCACTCCTAAGCATATATGCAAATGGATTGAAAGCAGTGACTCAAACAGACACATGCACTTCAATGTTCACTGCAGCATTATTCACAATAGCCAAGAAAGGGAACTTAATGTCCATCAACAGATGAATGGATAAACAAAATGTGACGTACTCATACAATGGAATTATGCTGCAGATGCAGGCCAAGGACATTTGGGGCTACCAGAAACTGGCAAACACAAGAAAGGATCTTCCCCTAGAGCCTTTGGCAAGAACATGGCCCTGCTGACACTCAGAATTTTCAGATTTCTAGCCTCAAAGACTATGAGACAATACATTTCTGTCATTTTAAACTACCCACCTTGGGGTACTTTGCTACAACTGCTCTAGGAAATGAACAGTGTATTTTACTGAGAAGCACTTCATGTGATAATTGTTGTTGTTGTTATGTGCCATCGAGTCGGAACCGACTCATAACGACCCCTCCTTGGGTTTCTGAGGCGGTATCACTACGGAAGTAGATTGCCCAACCTTCCTTCCGAGGAGTGGCTGGTGGGTTTGAACCGCCAGCCTTCTCGTTAGCAGTCAAGTGCCTTAGCCAGTATGCTACCAGAGCTCCTTCATGTGATAGAGGATTATGTAAAAGGAACACACTGACAATTTAATACTTTTACAATTATAAAGTGGATTTAAATGATACTAATGTAGGTTTTAATGATTAAAAGGGTTTAAACTTTTAACATGAAATATTTATTGTACTTAAAATATTGGATAAAATCAAAACATTTTACTGAGTTACACTAAGTCTATTCATTTTGCCATGACCTAACTAGGGATTCTTGTTATATAGTAATTCAAAAGCATCAAAGTTTTTATCATAAATTTTCTAAAGGGATTAAAAGAAACATATTTTTATAATTTAAAATACCAACACATTTAAGCACTTGAAAGTCAGCTTTCCACCCAAATGAAAGATTTGAATTTTGTTTTTTTATTATCCCAGCAAATGTTACACTAGAGAAAATGATTTGGAAAATACAAATAGATTCATTAAAAACACAGATTATTGATATCTACTACATTCAGAATTATGCAAAAACAATTTAATTATGTTGCAAAGCTGTAGTTCCTTTTTCTAACAAAACATTATTTATAAAACTGTAGTGTGGTCACTGATTCAATTTTAATACAAAATACTTATATACACAATACAATATAAAAGTAAACTGGTAGTGCCTTTCACAAAGAGATATATTAAGGCGCTTTACAAACACACCAATATGCTGACCCAAATTACTTTTTGCTTTAGGTAAAAGCAAACAGGCTAAATGTTTCACTTTAAATACCAAATGGTTGATTTTGTTTCTTAAATTTTTTTCTACAGATCCCTTGGGCAACAACAGCAGCAATGTCTAAACACCCTCCCAATGCATTTTCTAATTCTAACCTATTATTAAGTCAGAATAAAACATTTCCACTCACAGTTTTGCACTTTGCAACAGCAGAAGGTAATAACTTTTTAAAAAAGTCAATCTCAAAGTGACTTCTTAGTCATACATTCTAGAGTTTCTATTACAAAGAAAGTAGAAAAGATACAGCAATAGGGCCTGCCTTGGGATATCACTGGACAATACATAATAGTATCTACAATTACATAATTACAGAGCACATTTTATAAATACTATTGATATGCATAAAAAAGGTGTAGTAGAAGACAGATAGTACTTTCTTAAGGGGTGGGAAAATTATTTTGAAAAGAAAATGTGTAACCAATGTTTTCACTCTTTCTGTTGAGAGCATCTATATTTTTAATGTTGTAGTTCTCATTTTTTTGCTCAGGAAGCACCAGATTTTACAGAAGAACTGGATATAATTTGGGAATAAGACAGCTAGTAAGTGTATCTAACTATTAAAACTTCAGATACCAAACGCTTGTATACGGCTTAAGATAAACACAGAAAGCTTATATTGTCAGAGGGAGTTTTAAAAGTATAAAATATGTAGTGTCCATTACATTTGAGGAAAAAAAGTGATACAGATGGGGGAGATGAGGGGGGAGGGAAGGGGCAGTCAGCACCTTAGTTATCCCACAATGTAAGTCTAACAAAAGTTGGTTTCATATTGTTGTTGCACCACAGTCCAAAAGTAAAACAAATGGAAATACAAATAAATTCCACTGAAAAAAATCTCAGTGCGTGAAAGTAAGGTCTTTAAAATGTGAGTAGTGATCTCCAAATTCTTATGTTTAGTCTGTTTTGCACAGGATTTTATGGGATGGATCGAGTGTGCCATGAAGTTAAGACTGCCATATCATTATCGTGCATTTTTACAATTCTCTGATTAGAAGTTGACAAACTTTGGTAATGATTCTGTAATAAGCTAAATACATATTTTAGTGCCCTCAGAATGGTGTGTTTAAAAACCTCTTAGTGCTGTACCAGCAAGTGAGGCATTCATAAGGACAGCATGTCACATACTACACAGGCCGCCTCCATCACAAACCATCAGTATTTAGACAAAGATGTGCTGATCTGAGTACTGATCATACATTAAAAGCCAAATTCTTAATAATAAATCAAGTTTATTATAGGACAGGAGTCCTTAGCCTAGAGTTCTAGGTTTTAATGTGCCTAAAACTCCCTGAAACTGCAACATTAATGTGTATGTGCTGACGTGCATTTTTCTGAGAAGAAAGCCCACAGCTTTCATCCAATTCTCAAAAGGACCAGTCACCCCAGTAGACCTTTCAACAACCTACATGGCAGTAGTTTTCAAGCTGGGCTCTGAGAGGGCCACGTGAAGAAAGGTGGGAAGTGTGAGCTAAATAAATGTCTTTTTCCCTCTCCCCAATTCAACTGCAACAGCTTTGCCTTTAATTTTACTTACTTACATGATTTCCAGTAGCTTTTAAATGAAGAAAGCTGAATTGACAATCAGTAAATACTTCCCCTGCCCCTAAGTCAGTCCTTCTTAAAACCCAAACATGTAATAGGTGTCTTGAAAAACATATTACTTAACCTTAAATAAGTTAGGAGGATATGAATTTTCTACTAAGACCACTATATAACTTTGTCTAATTACTAAGGCCATGTCAATTAAGAATTTATTATTTTCTTCACCAGTTAAATCTGCCCTTAGCTAAAATACTGCCAAACAGCCAGATTTTTCTTTGCCAATCACAGTCTGAAAGAGGAAAACTGTAACTTTACTGAGGACATAATCAAAAGAAGTCACTATACAGAAGTTACTTTTCTAGTTGAGTACCCACAAAAAATCACTTATCAAAGTTTCACGTGAAACTGAGAATAATCTCTTAGGATGGTTGAAAATAAATTTTTAAATTTTGAAATAAAAACATGAAAGAGCTTACCTTTCAACAGTCTAAAATTTTTACTTATGGCAGCTTTGTTTCCTTCTAAAATGGAAGCATTATTAAAAATGCCAAAATGCAAAGAAAACTAGCAGTGCTTTAGCTTCTTTTAAAGCCAGTAATTCTTGAGAAACAAATCCTGGATTAATATTACATAGAGGGGAAAAAAAGAGAAGTTGTGTTATTTTTCCTTCTGATGAACATACACACATTGCCTCAACCATGGACTTCTCAGCTCCAGGATGCGAATTATAGATTATCATTAGCCCAGGAACACGCACCAACATGATGGCTTAATTTCTCTAGCTTATGTTATATTGATGTTACGGAAAAAAACCAAAAAACTCAAATATGGGGTAGACTTCATATTTGGTTAAAGCAAGATAAAACTAAAACTGTCTTTAAAAAAATTTCAAAAATTCTAAAAAAAAAAATATTTAGCACATGTACAAATAGATACCAGGCTTTTCTTTTTAAACAAAGCACTATTTTTTTTTAAGTACTTTAAGTACCAAGAACTGACTATAATATTGCGTTCATAATTTACTTTCGTTATAACAATTTTTTCCTAAGTTACTGGTTAAAAAGGTGGGAATAAATTAACATTTTAAAAAGAGTTCCCATAATTTAGGAAAATAAAATACTGTTCACAGAGCACACATACACAGCTCTGTCACAGTTGCATATTTTTAACCTCAAAAGACCCTGCAAATCTTCTCTTTGAAAATCTTCATTACAGAAACATGCTTGAAATCGAAATTTCCTAGCATGTTAAACGTACACTAGATCACGATTTTTGATCTCTGAACCTGTGTGATCATCTTCATCTGATTGATGCTCTGAGCCTTGTGCATTAATGTATTCATATTCAATAGGCTTTGGATAATTGTAGGGGTAACCATTGTCATCAAAGAACCTCCGGAAGGTAAACTCGTAGAACGCATGTTCAGGGTGCCTCCCGTTTTTATACCAGCCGTTGAGAGTGTCATTTACATTTTCCTCCTCATCACCATCACTCCATAATTTATCAGGATCAACTGGATCAAAATTTGATGTATCTGTTGGATGTGTGATTTTAGGAATGTATGAAGCAGACTGCTGTCTCAGGTCACTGGAGAAATCAATCGTTTTGAAAAATGAATGAGCTTTTATTTCATCAGCACCATTCTTGCCTAAGCGGTCTTCTGGTCCTCGACAAAGTTTAATAATAAGGTCTGAGGCTTCAGGACTCAGTTTAGCTTGTGGTGGAATATGAAGAGATGTTTGCCAGTTGATAACCTTTAACAAGAGTTTTTGAAAATCAGGAGGGAAGAGATAAAAAAGAAAAACAAAATTTCCTAATTTTTATACCAAAAAACCTTCTTGGACATTTGTGGATTTTTTAATGAATTGCTATGGTTTTCCTCCTTCCATACCTTCATTAATGCAATCATATCTGGAAAATAACTTTTTCTCCTACGTCCTCCTCTCCAGACAGTTTAAACTCACAGTACAAGTTTTATCTCCTCTGTTAAGCCTTTGCACATGTGCTAGAAACCACTACTTCCACTTTGCATCCACTGCACCAGATACTTACTTCTATCACAAGACCCCTAACACTTTGTAGTCTGTATGTGTATGTCCTTCTATTGGAGTGTAAAATTCTACTGGAGTGTGTACAATATGCATGTTTTACTCGTCTTTGCATTTCTCAATGCTTGCAAATTGCCTGACAAATAATAGATATTCAACAAATCTATCTTCCAGTTTTGAATAAACTGGAATGAGGAGGGCAGGCAGGCAGGAATGCAGGGTGTAACCAGACTATTTTCTCCCCCTTAACTCTTGAAAACAGGGGAAGTGATTTAAGAATCTGAGTACAATGTTGAATGAATTTTTGGTACAACTTAATCCTGATAAATGGTAGAATGCACTGTTATTTAATTGAGATAAGACCTGTCACATGATAGGTAGTCAAAAAATATTTGTAAATAGATGAATCAATGAATTCCATTCTTCCTTATTCATAGGAACTTAACAGCCACTGTAGAGGAAGAAAAATAAACTCTCTTTCCTAGGATGTTTATCTTAAAGTATTGCCCAACTTAGAAAAAAGATGAGGCCTCAACTAAGAATAGAATATTTATTTGAATTCTTTTTGGTAAAAAAACAAAAGACAAACCAAGATATAAGGGTGGTTACTTATGCCTAACACATCTATCTTCAATTTCTTTGCTAAAATTTTCTTTCAAGACTGTTCATCCTTAATTGGAGCATTTGTACAACTACTACTCAAACTCTGTCAGATAGTTCTAACCTCTGTATCACCTCAACACTCATGTCTGTCAAGGCCCTTTTTCCAATGTGACTTTAAATTTTCCTAGTTCTTTGTATGCCAAATAATTTTGGATTATACTCTGGACATTCTGAATACATGTTACGAGACTCTGAACCTTGTTTAATTCTTATGCAAAATGTTGGTATCATTGCTTTGGCAGGAATTAAACCTGATTGGATTCAGGCCACAAATTCCAACCAGCCTATGTAGCTTGTGATTTAAATGTCAAGTTTCAAGTTTAAAGCTATTCTCATCTCCTAAATGTGTGCCACTCATTAAAGGGACCTTTGCAGTATTTTTTCCCTTAGTTCAGTTCTCAATGTCTTTCATATGGTATTTAGGATCAGATCTACACAGGTGCAGAGCTGGGGCAGGGGGAGGTGAGCCCAACAGTTTATAAAGAACTTTATTGGGTTAGTTTTCTAAGCTGCTTTTTCTGCTATGCCCCGGGTATTTTCCATTTTTTTTTAAAATTGTGATTTGGGTGAAAATTTACAGAGCAAATTCACTTTCCACACAGCAGTTCACATATACTTTGTCTCTGGGTCAATTCCAACTCACAGAGCAAATTTATAGGACAGCATAGAACTGCCCCATAGGTTTCCAAGGCTGTAAATCTGTTTTAAATTGTGATTTGGGTGACACTGACTACAGTTTACCACAATGCAACAGCTCCCCTCCCTCTTCCTTCTGATAGTTCCCTCTTCCCTGTGTCCATCCCTCCATGAACTCCTGCCCTGAGCTGTCTCCCTGTGCATCACCAGCCCTTCCTTCTCCCGTGATTGTTCTCTCCAAGTAGTGTATTTAGCTCAGGTACATGTTCAACTCTTATGCTTGTCTTTTGTTTGGCTGGAAGCCACAGATGTGGGTTCAGTTCCAGACCTGAAGGGCAGCTAGGGGCCATAGTCTCAGTGGTTCCACCAGGCTCTATTGGACCAGCAAACCTATTCTCCAATTTCTTGAGGCTCTTCTTTTTGGTTCTCTGACCAGAAAGTGAAGGCTTTTATTTACCCCCCACTCCCAAACGTCTTATAACTGTATTTTTAAACCCATGGCGAGGTGGCAAGAAGACAGAGAGAAAAGAAAAAAGCAACAGAGATCTGTCTCATCCACTTGGGACCACATGCTATCTGATTCCATTTCCATTGGAGGGAAGGGTCACTCTCTGAGTTTTAGGTGCCTATTGCCACTTCTGCTACTGTCAAGGTGAGCCTAAACTAGAGCACTTGTCTGGAGCATGCTGTCTGTGCTGATGTCTACTTCTGGGTGATAAGAACTCTGAGTACAGGGTGGGGACACTACTGGGGAGAAAAACGGTCAACTTACCACTAAGTTCAGTGGTGCTCTGAATTTTCTGCCCCAATCTGCCTATGACTATTCATTTTTCAGAGTCCTCAAATAGCTGCTTCAAGCATTGTGTCCAGGTTTGAAGGTACATTTAGTGGAAAGGGTGGAGTATGCCTATTACATTTCACTCAGAACTGGATCCTTCGTCTCTCGTTGCTTTTAAAGTTTTTTCTCTCATTAGTTTTCACCAGTTGACCACAATGTTCCTGTGTATAATTCTGTGTGTACAGGCATCCTAATTTTCACCACTGGTGGCCATTTTAGTTATTAATAGGAGCGCTGGTGGTGCAGTGGTTAAGGCATTTGGCTGCTAACCGAAAGGTCGGCAGTTTAAACCCACTGGCTGCTCTGGGGGAAATTTAGAAGAGGTTGTCTGCCTCTGTCAAGATTTACAGCCTTGAAAACTCTATGAGGCAGTTTTACTCTATCCTATTGGGTTGCTCTGAGTTGAAACTGGCTCAATGGCTATGGGTATGATTTGGTTTTTTAAATTATCAAATTTTCACCACTACTATAAATAACCACACTGAATACAACTCAGATATTTTTCTTCTTATGAATTATTTCTTTCACCTAAGTTCCAAGAAGCTGTATTATTGGGGTCAAATGTTACGACCATTTTCATGGCTCTCGTTATAAATGCAGTTGTATCCTTGAGGACCGAGCTGATGAAGAGTCCTATCTCCAAATGAATGGGTTACAGCTCTCTAGTCTATACCTTACCTTCACTTGTGTTTCTAATGGTGTTTGTGCCAAGAAAGGAGGCTGTCCAACCAACATTTCAAAAAGAATTACACCAACACTCCACCAGTCACATAACTGTGTATAGCCTAAAACAAGATACCAAAATTAGTTATTCGTAAGCACTTTTTAAAAACACTCAGTTTTAATAAAATCAAAATTAACATCAAATCATGTTTTTTCTGTGAAATTAATATTTTTAATATAAACCTAAAAAGAATGTATTTCTAATATAAGTTTCAGCTAGTCTAAATATATATTGAGATTATTTATGAAACAAATAAATGCTTTACCTGTTCGCAGCAACACTTCAGGTGCGATGTAGTTAGGAGTCCCAACCAAAGAATGGGCGAGGCATCGCTGGTGCTGGCGTGCAGCTCTGCGCTCTAGGGGCTTCAGTCTATCCCCACATCGACAGTTAGAGGGATCACCCCACTCATTACTGAAATCCATGCTGTCTTGTCGTGGATGGTCACCTACACAGTAAAAAAGCAAAGAAAGTAAGAGCAACAAGGAGACGCTTAAACCTCCATTATTTCATTTCTTAACATCCTGTTTTGGAGTTCACAACATTCTCCCCCGTGACAAGCTAAAACACAATGCATGCCAAATCACAGTTGGTGTTTATCACCAGCCTGCTTTCTGAGATACCAGTAGGATAATCTCACACTAGGAAAAATTAGCCTAAGATCCAGCAATTTACTTAATGTTAAAAGATGAGAAGGTAACCAAGTAGGATTAAGAATTATTCACACTGCTCCCATTACTACTCTGACAAAGTTCTGAACAAATAAAATCACTGTTTCAGTCACTGAACTGTACTTCAATTTAAAAAGGCAATGGAATAAGAAAGACAATGTTCTTCTCTCAAGCAGCTTACGTTCAAAGCAGAACACATAGATATGTACGTAAGAAACAATGCCATGTCCCCCAAAGAGATTAAAATGAGGTGATGTGTTAAATTTGACTAGACAGCTACAACAAACTGGGTGGCTGGGGAAGAACTAGTAGAAGAGACACTTAGGCTGTTAAAAACAAGGGAGACCCAACCACTTGAAAACCAGGGCAAACCATTCTGCACAGAACAAAAAAAGCAACAGGGAGAATGGAAAGAAGTAGAGCAGGACCCAGTGCAAGTGGGTTCTGTTTGCAAAAAGAAATGGTTTGCATTTTACTTCAAGTACCAAACCAAGAAACCCCAAACCTACTGCCATCCTGTTATTTCCGACCCCATGTGTTACAGAGTAGAACTGCTCTGTAAGGTTTTCTTGGTTGTAATCTTTACAGAAACAGTTCACCAAGCCTTTCTTCTGTGGAACTGCTGAGGGGGTTTGAACCACTAATCTTTATGTTAGTAGCTGGCTGCAAATTGCTTGTGCCACCCAGGGACTCCAGATACAGTGGGAAGCTATTGCAGAGTATGAAGCAGAGAGCGAGAATATCTGATTTATCTTTAAAAAAACAAACACAAGCTGCAGCTGCTGTATAGTAGGAAGGCTAGTGAGCTTGGACTAGGATGGCAATAGTGAAGGAGAGAGAGACGGATTCATGATACCTTTCAGAGGTATACAGGGCTTGTTGATGTGGAAGGAACTGGGAGAAAATCATGGATATCCAGGAAGGTAGTGGAGGTACAGTTACTAAAGTGGGAAAGGCCAGAGGGGGAAGAGATAGACGGCGGGAAATTAAGAGCTTTTTTTTTGGCGATGTTAAGTATGAAAGGCTTATTATTATTTTTTTTTCCTGAAAAAAGCAAAAAACAAAAAAAATAAAATAAAACCATTCCATGTGCAGATTTCTAGTAAGCAGCTGGATAGAGCAATCTGGGATTTCAGGGGGAGGCCAGGTCTAAAGAGTGAGATTTGGGAGTCATTGACATATAAACCAAAAACCATGGCCATCAAGTCAATTCCAACTCACAGAGTGAATTTATAGGACAGCATAGAACTGCCCCATAGGTTTCCAAGGCTGTAAATCTTTTTTTTAAATTGTGATTTGGGTGAAAGTTTACAGAGGAAATTCATTTTCCATACCTGCAGCTATTTTTTGACATACACACTTGTTTCATGACACTGACTGCAATTCCCATAATGTAACAGCTCTCTTCCCATTTCCTCCCGTAGTTAGCTCTTCCCTATGTCCTTCTTTCCTATGCATTCCTGCCCTTTGAGCTATCTCACTGTGCAAACGCTGCCCTTCTGATCTCCTATGACTGACTGTTCTAAGGAGAGTATCTACCTAGTGTAAATGTTCACCCCATATGCCAGTCAACTGTTTGGCTGGAAGCCATGGGAGTGAGTTCAATCCCAGTCCTGAAGGGTGACTAGAGGCTATAGTTTTGGGGATTTCACCAGGTTCTATCAGACCAGTAAGCCTAGTCTTTTTTATGATATTGAGTTTTGTTCTATAGTTTTCTCCCACTCTATCCAGGATCTCCTGCACAGATCCCTTTCTGAGCAGTTGACAGTGGTAGCTGGGCACCATCTAGTTTTTCTGGTCTCATGGTCACATAGGCTGATGTTCATTTGGTCTGACAGTCTCTTAGACTAATTGTTTCCATGCATCTTTGGTGTCCTTCATACTTCTTTGCTTTGGACAAGGAGAAACCAATTTTATCTAGATAGCCACTGAAAACCTTTTAAGACCTCAGTCACAACTCACCAAAATAGGATATAGAATAATGTTTTTGTGTAGTATGTTATGCTAATTGAGCTTGATGACCCCTGTGACCATGGTCCTGAGACTGCAGGTCCAACAACTCACTCCCTCACGGTGGTGTGTGGCTAAGAAGTTGTAACAACTTTGTCTCATTAGTTCTATTTATATGGACATTCTCATACACAAATATGTATGTAGAAATATCATCTGCCAACTTTACATATGGTCATGGGTATATTCTCTTTTGCCTAGACATCCCTGATCACTCTGCCTGTCTACCTATGTACCTACCCATAGATTAATGTTTATTATTACTGATAACGTAGTATTGTATACGTAGAAGTGTTCATCTTTGTAGTCTGTACCTCTTGTGCACTGCTCTGTGTATTTCTTTTCCTTAGTGTTATTGTATTGGTCACTTGCTTTTGTATATTGCCTTTCCCTTCATCCAAATCAATACTTGTCTCTTACCTTGTTGTTGTTGTTGTTATGTGCCATCGAGTCAGCCCTGACTCATAGCGACCCCTCCTTGGGTTGCCAAGGCAGTATCACTACGGAAGTAAACTGCCCAGTCTTCCTTCCGAGGGGTGGCTGGTGGGTTTGAACCGCCAGCCTTCTGGTTAGCAGTCAAGTGCCTTAGGCACTATGCTACCAGAGCTCTTTGTCTCTTACCTATCAGTTTTCCCTCCCTTCCCTGGTAACCAATAAAGTTTCCTTCCATATATAAACCTTTCCTTGACTTTTTACAATAGTAATAGACTAACACAATATTTGTCTAAGGTTGTAAATCTTCATGGAAGCAGACTGCCTCATCTTTGTCCTATGGAGTGGCTGGTGGATTCAAACTGCCAACCTTTGGGTTAGCAGCCAAATGCCTTAACCACTGCACCACCAGAGTTTCTTCACTGACATATAGATAGTATTTAAAGCCATGCTATTGGATGAAGTTACCTTGAGAAATGTATCTCAAATTAACCCAACTATAAAGCATCTGGGATGCTTGATTAAAATACAGACTTCTATTCCCAGTGAAGGGGCTCTGGTGGTACAGTGGTTAAAGCATTTGGATGCTAACAAAAAGAACAGCAGCTGGAACCCACGAGCCATGCTGCAGGAGAAAGATCCAGCAGTCTGCTTATGTCAAGATTTACAGCCTTGGAAATACTGTCCAGTGGGACAGTTTTACTCTATCCTACTGGATCACTGTAAGTTGGAATCGACTTGATGGCAGTGGGTTTGGTATGACTTACTCTCCAGTGAAGATTTTCAATCAGAAGACTGGAATAAGGCCTCAATCAAAAAACCAAACTCACTGCCATTGAGTCGGATCCAACTCATAGTGATCCCTTCTTAGATTTCCGAAGCAGTGTCTCTATGGAAGTAGACTGCCCAATCTTCCTTGTGAGGAGTGGCTGGTGGGTTTGAACTGCCAGCCTTTTGGTTAGCAGTCAAGTGCCTTAGGCACTATGCCACCAGAGCTCCTGGAATAAGGCCTAGGCATCACATTTTAAAGAAGAGCCTCAAGAGATTCAGGTAAATCTGGGGAGACAATGAATAACATTATGCTGAGCATTAAACTAGGTTTAGATGTATCAGTTCCATCTTTTCAATGTCTTAATCTACTTGTGTTCATAGAACCATCTAATAATACATACTTCAGCAGATTGTTGAGAGCACTAAATTAAAATGTGTGCAGAGCTCCTAGTACATAGTAAGTATTCAAAAAATGTTAGATCCACTTACACTTGCCTTGGTGCTTGAAGGGATCTTGAGGCAGTGTGATGTAGTGGAAATAACATGAATCCTGTAATCAGACAAACCTGATTCAAAGCCTCCACTTACTTTTTTCTGTCAGACCTTCGGCAAGTTATTTAATCCAACTAAGCCTCAGTTTCTTCATCTTCCTTTACATTGTGAGGATTAAATAAAATCATGAACATAAAGTGTTTAGGCAGAAAAGATCAATGTTATATGCAGCAACAGGAATGAAACTCAAACACATAAAATAAGCCAAGCCAACACAGAACATAGAAGAATACATATAAAAGAATTACATTTAAATAAAAGTTGAAGTGTAGAAAAATAATGAAATAACATACTGTATAAAAGTATAAAGAAAAGTTAAGGAGCTGATTACGAAGTTCTGAAATAATGGTTATCTCTAGAGAAAAGAAAGAGAAATGATTATCCAGCATGAGTTATAAATGACTCACTGGCAACTGGTTTGGTTTTGCTTTTTTGTATTTTTTTGGTTTTAAGGTATTGATAATCCAGTTCTTAAGCAGAATAGTGGTTATGGAGTTTTATTTTGTAGTGATTTTTGAAATGTTTTTATTTGTATGTAATTTCAAAATAACAAAATGCAAAGTGGTAACTGAAAAATGTTGATATTTAGAAATAATCAAATCTAACACACTCTTATTTTATAGGTGTAAGTGTTTAAAGGATTCCCCCAAGTTTATCCAACAGTCAAGACCTGACCCAGGTCTTCTGGCTCTGTACCCAGTGATAATACCATCTTATATTTTATTGCATTAATAAATCTCACTGACATGCACAAAGTAAAATGTTATGATTTTACTCACCACTCTGATAGTACTTAGAATCATGTGTCCATCTGAAGCCAGTGCAGAGGCCGAAGTCAGTCAATTTAATATGACCATCACGATCAATCAAAATGTTATCTGGTTTAATATCTCTATGAATAAAACCCATTTTATGAACACTTTCAACTGCACAGGTAAGTTCTGCTATGTAGAATCGTGCCAGATTTTCTGGAAAGATGCCCAATCTAATTAAGAGACTCATCATATCACCCCCAGGAATGTAGTCCATTACAAAGTATAAATTGTCCTTATCTTGGAATGAATAATACAGACGAACTACCCATTCATTGTCTGCTTCAGCCAGGATATCTCTCTCAGCTTTAACATGAGCAACTTGATTTCGAAGCAGGACATCTTTCTTTCGAAGAGTTTTTGTTGCATATAAAGCCTTAGTATCTACTTTTCTTGCTAGACAGACTTCACCAAAGGCTCCTATTCCTAGTGTCTTTATCTTCACAAACATAGACTTGTCCATTTTAGCCCTTTTAAGACGGATGTAATTAGACTCTTTTTGGCAAAGCATCTTTCTCATTTGATCCTGGGCATCTTGAGATAATCCAACCTAAGTAAATAAACTAAATGTTAAATGAGGAATTATCTTCTTTCCATATTAATAAATAATTTGAAAAATTCAGGCATATATTTAATGGTTAAATGTGTAATAATTTTTAATAAAGCATGTTAGAAATCTAGAATATATTTCAGAGAAAATTAATGATCAAAAGTGCAGCTTAAGGAATAGTTAACAGGATATACAAAGTGAGTATACAGACAGATTGTGCTGTTGGGAGTGAGAAGAGAATACCACTGGTCAGTTTTCTACTCCTCTATAATGTACTCAAAAAAAAGTTCCCAATGTGCAATAAGCAAGTATCTCTGAACATGCATCCTCATCTATCCACCCATGCATAGTCATCCCTAATCATGATTAAACTGCCTTCACTACATGGCCCTCTGTGGAATGCCTAGGCATCAAATATTCTTCCTCTGTTTTCTCTATATGGATGTAAATTCTTCCAGTCTATGTTCATTTATTCTCAAAAGCTCATGCTTTTAAGAACAATAAAACAATGCCTTCTCTAACCTAACCACCCTTTTCTCATTCTTAATAAGACAATATATAGTCACTAACAGTTTTATATCTTTCTTGGGCAAGAGTGGGAGTCACAGAGCACCACTAAACCAAAATACAAAGTATCTCCTCCCTTATTTAAAAGGGACAACCTACTTGGTTACAAAGTATCTTTTAGATATTTTGGAACATTTCAATGAATAGTTTACTGTGATGAAGATATCCAAGAATACCTTAAAAACAAAAATAACTTCCAAGTAGATACCTGGATTTAGAAGGTGGGAACAGTTTTACTAATTAATGAAAAAACTAATAAGTTTAAATAGAAAAGGAATTCAACTGCAAAAGAGTCTAATTCTAGAAATACAAGACTAATTGAAATATAGCAACCTCATGCTTCTGTTAGGATGCGCATTTGCATGCAAAATCTTTAAGAAGGGTGGCATGCCAGTCTTAGTATAGAACTGTTTCTCTTAAAATCTTACTTGGCTATACAGTAATGGAGGCTACAGAAGTCAGCAAAGCTTCCAACACCATAAAAGTTTAAATCAGCTATTAGTGAAAGTGAAGAGGAAAAAGGAAAAATAAACTAAGAAAATACATACAGACAGACTTTAGTAAGAAATCCTAAGAGCAAAAAATATGTATACGTCATACAGATTGGCCTGGTATTTCTCATCTAATAAAATTCAACTTATAGCAGGGATAACAATACTGTGAAATCAGATTTAGAAAAATAATTTTAAAAGAATGGCTCTCTCAAATATGCGAGGAATTTCCACTGTATATTTAAGTCTCTTGGATTATGAGTGACAGATGGAAGATTAGGAGTCAAACCTTTGAGCTCTAATCATGATAAAAATACTAATAATGACAGTAGCATAATAATTATCTCATAACAACCAGTGAAGAAATCTCTAGAATAACAATGAGTGCTTGCTTAATCTGATCTCTTTTTTAGTATGATTTAATATTTTCAACACTTTTTTCTCCAATACATTATAAAAAACAAATTAGAAGGGAAACAAACTAAAGGGAGACATCTTGATAGACTTTCAAGTAAGACCCACATAAAGAATGAACACAAGCCCACAAACCTACTGCAAAATAAAAAGAAATATTGCCTAAGTGTATCAAGAGGTAGGACCAAAAAACTTCTGGCTTATTTTTAAATGTAAGATAATAAGTAACACCTAGGTCACCCTTGTTCCAATATCCATATAAAGAGGTTATGTAGAACTACAGTATTTTTCTTAATTTACATAAGTTTATTAAAGGAAATTCTGATAAAATCTTGAAATATGAAAATCAGATGCCATAAACAAAAGTACTTTGATGTTTACTCACTTTTAAGGAATTAATATTATATTTAGCTGTAACAAGGAAAAAAAATACTGGCTCACAGTATTTTAAAATAAACACCAAGCAAATAGAAGATCAAGTATAAAAATGAACATTTAAAAAGATTTTACCCTCATCATTTCATTCTCTAACTGTTTTTTACGATGTAGACGCTGCTGGTGAGATTTGAGGACATTTTCCACGTGCTGCTCCATAAAGAACTTAAACGCCTGAGGAGAGTAACTTTGAATACGAGATTCCCGTCGCTCCTCATCTTTCTTGTTTTTCCTAACGGTAATAGGTGAAGTTGTAATCTGTTTCTTTTCTTTATCCCCACTATCAACATTTTCATAATTTTTTTCACCCTCATCATCCTTGGGCAAGCTAGGCTGATCTTCTTTGCCTGATTTATTTATCGATTCATACGGAGGAACAGATGGGTTTTGGTGTAGCAGATGTTTTGGATAAGGAGGTGGTGGACCTTGATAGTTTGGAGCTTCAGCAACAGGTGACATAACAGTCATATTTGAAGTGGTACCCTCAGAAAAAGGACTATGTGTAACAGCTTGAACTGGCTGTGGTATCCAAGAAGGGTGTGTTGGTGCTAAAGCAGTCTGTAGCTCTGGTTTCAACACACGAATGCTTTTCACAGGCTGCTGAATAGGAGCTGGTGTAATAGCAGTTACTGTTGTAGCTGAAGGCTGAGAATTAGTAGAGTGACTTGTTCTATTTCCTAATGGATTGTTAAAAGAATTTGATCTCACTGGAATGCTTGGTTGCCACGTAGGGATTTCATGTCCACTGCCTGGGGATGACTGGGTTGGAGCAGAAGATGACTGAGGCCAAGCTGTCTGTAGTCCAGGTACATTAATGTTATAAAGTTCCATGTTATGACTATTTCGGTTTGGCACCATCATAGACTGAGGGACATTTCCATTTGTATATGAGGAAGGTGCACTGGATACCCCTGTTTGTAAAGCCGAAGGGCTCTGTCCATTAGTTGAGGTCAAAGGATATGGAGGGGGTGGTTGCCGATTCACAGCACTAGCAGGAACAACAGTCTGATGTATCATAAAGTCAGTTTGACCACTACCATTCTGAATTCCAGGCCTCCCTGGTGGAAAGTTAAATTTGTTAGAACTCTGCATGATGATTGGCTGTCTGCCAACAGGAACTGAACTCATGCCTCTCTGTCCCTGATTAGGTGGATTCATTGGGGAAGTGTTAAGAGGTGGTGGAGGATAGCCCTCCTGCCATGCCCCAGGTGGAACAGGAGAGATTCGAGAGATTCCATATTCCATGTTGCCAGAATAGCGCTTTGTCTGAGAATTTGGTTCCCATGACAGGGGAGGTGGAGTTGTACCTCTTGGAGGGGGAGTCTGGCCTCTTGGAGGCGGTGGAGGAGTGACACTCCTTACTTGAGGTGGTGGCGGGGGATTCACTCTCTGTCCATTGCTAGGGTGAGCTGGAGCAAACGCTGCTATACCGGATCCCGACAGTGGTCTTCCTACATCTGTCTGCAAGCTGGGACTTTCAGAACAATATGCTACACTTTCTCCTAGAGGGGGGCCATGTCTCTGAGGAACTAAGGATTCTTTAGAACCTTTCCAGCTTTGCTTACGGTTAATCGATTGTTGTACAAGCCCTATGGTGATGAGAGAGAGAGAGAGAGAGAGAGAGAAATATGTTTTTAATCTCTTATTTTTTAAAAATTTAGCTTATAATTTTGACACTACTAAATGATATTGAATTCTCTTTCAAAAATTATAAAGTATCAAATTTTAGTATATAGTTTCATTTTTTTACCTTTTAAAATTTTACTTATTTTGGCTAATTATTCTAATGGCTCAAAATTTAAGATATACATACAAAAGGATACCCATCTCGATCCCTCAGCCAACCAGTTTCCTTCCTTGAAGATAACAATTATCAGTAAAATATTTTAGGTTGAATTAATGTTTTAAAATAGCAGCTGCAGTAGATGAGACAGGGATATGGGTAGACTTGATAGAGGATACAGTATAGGTCATGGAGAAATGAAGGTAACATGGACTAGGGAGATGGCAGAGAAAACTGAATGAATTAAGAGAGATGGAAGGGTAAAATTGACAATCTGGTTATAGATTACATATGAGAGATGATGTTGGAGAGGAATGACTCTTAGGCTTTTGGCTTAGAGAAAAAAACAGGTGGACATTCATTAATATTGAGGTAACAAAGTCTTCCTCCATATGACAATGGTAGAGAACATGCCACATAAGACTGACAAACATAAAACACTTGTCACCATGAAAAACAAAACAAATAAGAAATCCTACAAAAGTTAAAACTGAGAGAAAAACAAAATTGAGAGAAAATATATTCAATCACACATTTTTAAAAAAGCAAAGGTTCAGAATGTATTAATACCCCACTCTCCTCTAGGTTGGGCAGCATTTGGTGTCTGTGGCTTTGGGAAGAATAATCACTCTGCACAAGTCAGACAAGTCCCCTGGCCGCCAGGCTTAATTGCACCTCCATTAGAAAGTCACATAAGGCTCATCTACCATTCTCACTCATGGTGTCAGAAGGGACCAGTCCCTGGAGAAGGGCATCATATGGGTAGAGTACAGAGGGTCAGCAAAAAAGAGGAAGACCCTCAATGAGATGGACTGACAGAGGGGTTGGGACAATGGACTCGAGCATGGCAACTATTTTGAGGATGGCACAGCATAGACAGCCATCTTGTTCTGTTGTACACAGGGTTGCTGTGAGTCGAAACTGACTCAACAGCATCTAACAACACTCACCCAGCTCAGTAAAAATGTCTCATCAATCCAAGAGTATACAACCATGCTGCTGTTCTGCACCTCCCATAAAGCTCTCCAAGTTTTGCCCCCCTTCTACCTCCCAAACCCTTGCACTACGCCCTCCAGACCTCCTGCTCCATAATCAGCAAATATCCGTTACTAATCTCTTCTCTAACCTTTCCTGTCATCTCATTAAAGCTAGTTACCATCTCTTGACATTACTTTCCTTCTAGCCCTTTGAAATTAAGATTTTCTTTAAAAATAAACTGGGCCCCAAAATGAGATGGTATCTTCTTTGCTCTCCATTTATGCTTCCAGCCCATTGCTATTCCTTTCAACTCTTTTAAAAAGCTTGCTTATAGTTTGTCATTTTTGTCTATGTTAGCCTCCTTCAGTGATACATATGATAGTTCAAAAACATGTCCCTCCAACTCAAAGCTATATATCCAGCTCCCTACTTAACACCTCCACTTAGATAACTCAATGATCCTAACTTAACCTTATATCCAAAACCAGGTTTAGGATCTTTCCCCACCAAATCCTGTTTTTTTTTTAGCATTTTCTTTCTCAGTGTATAGCATCGCCATCCATTCATTTCTTCTAAGCCAAAAGTCATTCCCTTCTATCACTATCCTCTAAATGTAATCCCTTACTGAGTCCTCATCAATTTTATCCCTTCCACCCCTTTTAATTCATTTACTTTTTTCCACTGCCATCTTCCTAGGCCAAATTACCATCATACCTCCATGAACTACTGTATCACCTATCAAATCCATCCACATCTACTCCCTTGTTCCTCTCCAATCCATTCTTATGCACTGCAACCATCTTTTTTTTTTTTTTAATTGAATTTTTGGTGTAACACAGCAAGTTAGGTTCCCATGACAATTTCCACATTAACTGTTCAGTGACATTAGTTACATTTATCACAATATCAACATTCACTTTGTGTGCTGTTTGCTCCTTTTCTAATACTCTAGCTTCTCTGCCTCCTAATCTTCTTATCTTCGCTTTTGAGAAACTGTTGATCTCTAGGTGTCACACTGATGTTTTTTAAGTAGGGCACCAATCTTATGGGTAATAGTCTTTACTTTGTATGTCACTCTGATGTCTCACTAGATGGTAGTGGCAGGGGATAAGCTCAGTTCTGGGTTTACAGAGTGTCTCTGTCTCAGGGTGATACTCTCATGGAGTCCTCTGTTCTCTTCCTGTTTGTCTCTTAAAAAAAAGAAGAAGAAGAAAAAGAATTTAAGTTCTTCAGATTTTTCTCCCATGCTATCCAGGACCAACTAATGTGTCTCCGGCCACAATGGTCAGTGGTGGTAGCTGGCACCATATATTTCTTCTGGTCTCAGGGTAGATGAGGATGTGGCTCTTGTAAACTCTTCACTGTGCTTTCGGTTACCTTCTTTTCTTTTGTATGTGTCTACCACTAGTTAGTGGGTTATCCTTCCTTCTCCTCCTCATCAAAGAATGGTTACCTTCTTACTGTTTTGCTCCTGGAAAGTCGAGACCTGTAGATGTGTCTTAGATGGGCAGTTGCAAGCTATTAAGACTCCAGACACTACTCACACTTCACTAGGTTGCAGATCATGATGTTTGTGAACAATGTGATGACAACTGACTGACTTGTCCCATGAAAGTATAGTTCTACATCTTCAAACCCAGAAAACCAATGTTGGAAGGTGCTGGGTTATATATGAGGAGTATCTGCATTTGTATCTTTAATGAATATATGTGCCTGCATCCACATATTTGTATTTACACACACCCATACATACTCCTAGGAGCTTTGGTGGCATAGTGCCTAATCCATTTGACTGCTAACCAGAAGGCTCTGTTCGTTCAAACCCATGAGCCACTCCTCAGAAGGAAGACTGGGCAATCTACTTCTGTAGAGATACCACTTCGGAAACCCAAGGAGGGGTCGCTATGAGTCAAAACTGACTTGACGGCAGTGAGTTTGGTTTTTT